TGTACAAAATGCTGGTAAGGCTGCACCTGGAGTATTGTGTACAGTTCTGGACACTACCCCTCAAAAAAAGAAAAAAAAAACCCTCTTTTCCCTATCACATAATACTGAGTTTGGGTGGAGTTGTCTTTTGCCTCAAGTGGAAGAAACTTCTTGGGCTGGCACCCTCATCACTTATCACATACATCACTTCTAATGGATCTAATGGTCCAAATCACCTCTCTCTGTTGCTGGTCTGTGAGACACTGCTTGTACTGTCCCATACAAACCATTCATTATTCCTGAAGGATATTTTTTTCATATATATATCAGCTTGTCAAATGTTTCACCCATATCTGGATGTCTAGGAGTATTCAGAAGTGAGACGTGTCTGTGGTATAAAATGTGATCTCATTCCCACTCCCAACCCAAAACAGGAGCAAGACTGAGAGGATTACTCTTGCAAGATAACAATTCCCTGAGACCAAATATTGAAATCAAATGGTATTGGAAGTGAAATGCTGATATTAGGAATATGAATGACATTTGCCAAATGTGGTAGCCTCCTGACGCTTTTGTTGTTGTTTTTATGCCATCAAGTCACTTCCAATTTATGGTGACCCTATGAATGAGTGATCTCCAAAATGTCCTATCCTCAGCATCCTTGCCCAGCTCCTGTAGACTCAAGCCTGTGGGTTCCTTTAGGGAGCTGTTCCATCTCATATTTGGACTTCCTCTTTTACTGTTGCCTTCCATCTTTCCCAGCATTATTAACTTTTCCAGAGAATCCTGGCATTCTCATGATCCCTAAGCATCCTGAAACATTTTTTAAAAAACTAATACTGTATTAAAGAATAAGACAGCACTATAAATAGAATTTTGAGGCGGCATCACAGGATTAAATCACTTGAAACTAATAAAAACTTTTCAGCTGGGGATTTTGAGATGGTGGGATTACTTTGACGGTGGCCAATAGCTCTCTGCTATAGTTGTCCTTATGTTCATCTCTGATAGCATGAGAATGACTGCAATGTTCAGCAAGCCTTCGTGCTAGAGAAGCACGGAATTATACTGCTCTCTCTCTCTCTCTCTCTTGGAGCCCCCAAACACAACAGAAAAGGAAACTGATGAATTTTACATGATCACAGAGAACCAGGGAGGTAGCATGCGGCTCTTCCTTCAAGTGCTGAGGAAGGCAAGAAAACACGAGCTTTGGGATGGTGGGTAGGTAAAACATATGGCAATAAAAGAACTGCCCCTGTATCTCTCTTCTGTCCACTCCCGCAAGACTTACTCTCCTCTCTACAAAACTTAATTTGTATACCTGAAGGAATTAGCACTGTCCCCTTAGCTTGTGACTTGCTGCATAAATCATGATGAAGTAGATTTACTGGGCAATTGCTGGTACCACCACTCCCCTTTGCTTCTGTGCATCATTGCTGCTTTCCTTGATGTTTTCACTTCACTTTGGCATTCCCCTCTTTCTCAACCCATCTCTCCCATCCTGACTGACAGCCTGTACCACCTGGAATTAAAAACAACAACAACAACAACTCAATGTCAAATATGCTTTGGCAAAGGTGTCTGGCTCCTGCTTCATGTGCATATATACATATTTTTGGCACAAAAACATATGGCTGTGGTATGCTACATGAAATAATTTCTCAGGGACCTGGTCTCCTCTTGCCCACCTTGTTTCTTGGGCGGGGTGATATGAAAGTCAATTGTTTACACAGATATAAATGAATACACATGGGAGCTACATTGTGTTTCAACTAATTGCAGTTGCTTGTGTGTTTTTTTTTTCTTTTCAAAATGCTACATCTGTGATCCTATGTATATTTTCCTGGAAGAAAGTTGCAGAGAAATGAGTAAAACTTGCTTCTCAAATAAAATAAAATAAAATAAAATAAAATAAAAGAGAGAGAGAGAGAGAATAGGACAAGGACTGTGACAATGACTAGGATTGTAACCCATTTATAGAGGCTGTATGCAATTAAGAGCAGAATTTATCAGACAAGGCTTTACCCCTCATGACATGTGAAAGACAGGAAAAAACTAGTTTGATAAATGCTGTCTGTGATTCACCTGCTGAAGGTCACCTTCTAGATGCTGTTGCACTACAGCTCCCATCAGGCCTTGCTGCCAGCAATGCTGATTAGTGATTATGGGGGTTGCAGTTCAATAGCATCTAAAGGGTCACATGTTCCCAAGACCCGGCATAAAAATATCCAGCCCTTTAAAAAGTGTCAACCCTCTGAATACCCTACATTTGTAAAATTGCATTGGATTTGTTTGGACAACGATGTTTTCAAGACGACTGCTGATAGTCAGTGTTCCTCTTTGTCTTTCTGAGATTTATCACAGCGTGTTGAAAATTTAGTGGATAGGGAGGGTGACAAAGAAATGCTAAAGGAAATATATAAAAACAAAGGAGTCCAGAAATATATGAAACACAGAAGGCTGGAATACATCAGTCATGTAATGAGAGATGAAAAGCACAGTGACACAATTAATCACTCATGGGGAAAGTGCAGTAACCCATTTCCCTGAAAATAAGACCTAACCTGAAAATAAGCCCTAGTAGGATTTTTCAGGATGCTCATAATATAAGCTGTACCCCAAAAATAAGCTCTAGCTAAGTGGAACCACGCCCTCCACCACTGTGCAGCAACTAGAAGAAGATGACATTACTGTATTTGAAAAAATGTAAATTGTTGTACATGAAAAAATTAAAACATCACCTGAAAATAAGCCCTAATGCATTTTGGAACAATAATTAATATAAGACCCTGTCTTATTTTTGGGGAAACACGGTAGACTGCCTTGGAAGAAACCCAACCCTCTGTAGAGGTATTGCATTCAAAGTAAAAGGGGAAACTGGCTTGGAAGAAACTCAACATCATTCTGTAGAGGTATTGCATTCAAAGTAAAAATAATTTCCAGCTTCTGACAGTAAAGGAACAAGAAACATCAGCAGGAGAACAGGGCCTGGCCATGTTTTCAGTCAGTTGGCAACCCCAAGCATGAGCATCCTTTGGCTCTAAAAAAAATGTGCAAGTTATGTAAGCTAAAACAATGCCATGCAATGTACTCATTAAAAGTGAAGTGCACTACCTTGTGAAAAGAGTTTGGGTGGAAATCTATTGCAGTCTGAGCCATTGTATGTTTGCATGGAAGTAAATCCCATTTAATTCAATAGGCCTTGTTCTGATGTGAAGGCATGAGCCTAGTTAAGCAATATGGGCAAGGGCCAACTCAGCTGACTCTAAGCCAGCTGAAGCTCTGCTGAGTTCTCTCAGCCTTGGAATGCTGGAAATTCTCCTGACCACAAGAATACTATTCATAAGTATGTACCATCAGGTTGATTCTGCCTTGTGGCAATGCTTTCCAGGGTCTCCTAGGTATTGAGTGCTCCAACATAGTTTGTAATTCCCTTCTTCAGACTGCCATCATAGTGGTTGCGTCCCTAGGTTGAAGAGGTTTGGATCTGGTACAAATCTACGGTTCCTTCATCCTGCCCCCTTCTTCATCCCCTCTTAGCTTTGATCCGCCAGCAGGGAGTTCTGCCAGCAGAAGGGTAGTTGTGCTATTGTAAGACACTTTAATCCTTCAAAGTTTACTGTTGCCAGTGTATCTTTGATTTAGGATTGCACTGTAAGTTTACACTGGATTAGAGCCTGGCACCCAATCCTAAATAGAACTATCACACTCAACACCCTTCAAGAAACCATGAATTAAATTGTAACTAACTGTAGCTTGTATCCAGCTGCAAGTGGTAGACTGTTTCCACTGCTCATTTATTTCCCAAAGAATTGTGTATGAAATGATCAGAACTATAGCATAGCCATTCAAACACAATACAATGAATATATGTGCTTCTAAGTTATACAGATCATTTGCATCATTTAACAAGCAAGATTCTGTGTTGTTCAGCGCTGCATAAGCTGCTAATAGAAGCTGTTGGATTGTGTGCAAACCCATCATTTTACTTCTTTCCCACAGTGATCTCTTTTTGGGTTGTTTTTTTGATTTTATTCACACATTTAATTTATTATTATTCTGACCCAATGAAGGAGCAGAAGAGATTTTCAGATGCTGCCTCTTTCATTGCCGTTTTGAATTTTGTTTATTTTGCCTTGGCAAATATGAATGGATTTAGAAAACTAATTTCAGAACAAATAAAACTGGATAAATGTGGAGCAGGTGCTGCTGGCATGTAAGCTGAGGAGCTACAGAAAGGTGTGAATTGATTTCCTTCTGCTGTTTTCAAGAGGATGTTGGAATGGTCCCTGACCTAAAGAGACCACACACCTTCCCTTCATTTTGCCCAATGACAAGTTAATTAAGCCTGTATAAATACTTCCTTTGATGAAGGTGGCAATTGGTAAGTCAGCATGGTGGTAGCAAAGTGGTTCCAGGCCCCTTCGGGCACTGTATTTCTCTGGGTCCTTTGTTGGTCTTTTTCTGCAGTTTGGGGTGTCCCCAGTAGTTTTAAAGATATATCAAGTTGGTGGAGCCACAGGTTAGTGTACTGTGGCAGCGAAAGCTTACAGTTTACCTTACCTGCAAACCACACAGATATTATTCCTTTGCTTACTGTTCAAGGTAAGTAAGGTTTGGGGAGCAGAATCTCACTGTGGGGACTGTCAAGAAGGACAGTTCAAAATGAATTCTATCCTGGCACGAGTGAGCGTTGAATGGGCAGATATCATCTGTGCTAGCACAACTGGCTGACCATAGAACTATTATTGGGTCCGTTGGATCTGCCAGGACAACAGTCATTGACCAAAATCAGCCAGCAGAAAAGTGAGAAAGGGGAAGGAGTGGGGTAAGAACAATCTTACAACAGACCCAAACCCTCTTCAGCCTGGGCTCACAAAATGAGGCCATGGAGTCCTAAGTAATTTTGGACTCAGCTGGCTTAGCATTACCTCAGCCATCTTGGCCAGTTAGGATGGAACCCTAAGATAGGCAGTACAAAACATCAGGCCTTGGGGTTTGATCCATCTCTCCTTGGGTTCCTTTCTGGTCCTTGGGGCTCATCAGATGTACACTCCTTTCCTTGCCATTATTTGGTGGTAACCCTGGTTTCATCAAGGCTTCTTTCCCCTTCTAAATTGAAACAGTTCTTCTAACATGTAATAAGAGCTTTAGCTAAAACACACCAACATTTTAATGCCCATCCTTTTCTCTGTGGTGGCATAACTATTGAAATATAGTCCTTGAAATCTTAGCTGAAATTGAATTTGGCCCTTGGCTTTCCCTCCCTTTAGTTTAACGGTAGTGATTGCCCACTGGGTTTTGCACCACGTGGCTGTTCCTCAAAATGATGTATGCTTATGGTTTTTGTAAGAAATGTATTCTTATTTCATAGCTCCATTTGGCTATTCTGAACTTGAGATAATAGCATTCTACCCTTGGTCCTTTCTTTCAAGGCCTTTGGGATTTTCTTTTCCTAAGAGGATCCTACACAATAGAGCAGAATCATCATTCCTACCTATGTGGATGCCTCTCATACAGTCTGTGTAAGCATGAATGCAGAAACAAACAAAGCTGCTAGAGCATCAAACTAGGTCCATTTGCAAATGCGCTTCGCCTTGGTCACAGTGGAGCCATTATAGGTGTCCATATTCACTGAAATACTTGCTTTCCTTGCTCCAGTGTGAGTTTGGTATTAAAACAGAAAAGCAGCTATAGTGAATCTTTAACTCTGTTCCCAGGCACATGCCCCCTTCGTTCCACAGCTCTTACTCAGGCAAAAGATCTTTTCCCTTGGGATATCCTTTGGTACTAGAAATGTACATGCATAAACTATTTGTTATACCAAAAGGGACATGAATATGGGAAAACTATTTTAAGAGCATGAAAGAATAAGATTCTTCTGTCGAACATACTTATAGAAAATCAAAGGGTGGAACAGCCATGAGGCGGAGAGAGGAGGAAGGCCTAGCATAAGAGCTAGACTTGCCTAGTAGGTGGTCTCAAATTGCTGAGAGATATCTTGATATCAGCTCTTTTATATGAGTCTAAGCTTTGAACCTTTAGCACTAGCTGTAGTTCAGAGGAACAGGGCTTTCCTGTCACTCTTGGTTTCAAGTTCAGTGAGGGGTAAAGCTCCTCTTACATTTCTGCCTATAACTACTAAAGGAGCAGATATCCTGTGGTCTGGTAGTTATTCAATACAGGGGAATAACAATAAAGAAGAACTGGGAAGTATACAGCCTTTTATTGTTCCTCTCCCAGTTGGAAGTAAGGGATTGCACAAACTTATCTTAATGACTGAAAAGATTTGTTTAGCTCCCTGCGTTTTTTGTTTTGTTAGGAGCAGATTAGCTAGTATTGTAGTACTTGGGAACATAGTCATTCAAGTGCAGCAATGCTATTTAGGCTTCAGACTGCAATCTCCATACTAGAACAACAAATCTCCTGGCATTTTATAGATTAGGGATGTGCACGGTCTTCAGATATACAGTAAGCTGTCAAATGGACTGAATCACGTATTTGTGTGTGTGTGTGTGTGTGTGTGTGTGTAGTTGGCTAGTAACAGGATGGAGTAAGACACTCCAAACTGCGCACACACTCTCTCTCTCTTGTATTTATTTATATATTTATTTTAAAGCTCCAAACTGTCCTTGAAGTGGACTGGCCATCCCAACAGTTTATGATAATTTGCTCTGGCAGTATTGGAGTAGAAACAACAACACAAGGAAGAAGCATTGTAGGAGAAGGGGATTTGATAGTTGAACCTCCAGTGGAACCCTAAAACCTGCTGGGCAATCCAGAAACCAAGACCCTGCAGAGGGTTGAGAAAGAGGTGACCAGAATCTATGCATGTGAAGTTTAGCCTACAGAATATAGAAAAATAGAATTATATACCTCAGAGGGAGAGGGCTACAGAAGATGAATAAAGATCCTACAGTATACATCACTGAAGTCTATATTGACTCATAACATCACAAGTAAACTGTTTTAAGAACAAATGATATGGGGGGGGGGAAGACAAGAACGGATAGGTTGAACCTATAATTGAATTTAGTTCTGTGTTAAAGTTTGTGATTTTATTGTATTTAATTTTTATTGTTTTAAAATGCCCCATAAGCTGCTCTGGGTCCCAGTTCCGGGATACAGGTGGTGTATAAATGAAACAATAAATATTGTTGGAAGATTCTAAAATCGCACAAATTTCCTCTCTAGATTCAGAAGGTCGGTTCCGTTCTCTCATCAATTCTGCTTGCGTCTCTGTCTCTTGGGAACAAGAAGGCTCTGCGATTTTTACTGTTCCTTATGTGGGATGTTTTGTCTCTAAAAAGGTAGCAACTTACCCCTTATACTGGGATGTGGCTGCTAGAAAGAACTGTGTAGAAAGATCTTCTCAATCATGCTCCAGCTACTTGCCACAAGTAGCTGCATTTTAATTGTTGAGCACCCATTTGTAGTATTCTGTGTATGGAAATACCTTAGAGCAGTGCTGCCTGACCTTGGGTCCCCAGATGTTCTTGGACTGCAACTCCCAGAAATCCTGCCCAGCACAGCTAGTAGTGAAGGCTTCTGGGAATTGCAGTCCAAGAACATCTAAGGAGCCCAGTTTGAGAATCACTGTCTTAGAGCAGACCTCTGGTCGTTTTATAAAATCTTAGGACTAAGGATGTTCCACACTTCAAAAGTTAAGAAGAAGAAGAAGAGCAACACCTATAGAAATGTAAGCAAAACTGTGGGCACGTTTATGAAGGACCATCATACCAGGAACTGAGGCTAGATCTGCATGGTGACTTGTGAGAATTCATTCAGGAGGCAATTCCATTTGTTTTAGTTCAGAGGTTGATAACCATCATAGAAATGCTGGAGAACATTGAGCAGGAGTGCCCATTTTCATAGTAAGAATTTTTAGCATTTAAGATTTTTGGTAGAAAATCTTGGCAGTGAGTAGGTTTTGCATGCTCTCTGTCCTGACTTGCCTAATGGACATCTCTAGTTATCTATCACTGTTTTTGTTAATCCAGAGAAACAATTTCCTAATGACTCTAAGGATTGAAATACAAGATGAATCTGGCAGAGTTCTCCTCCATGAAATGGACCTGAAATGTCCCATCTATTTGCCAGGTATAGTTCTGGGGAATCACTAAGCTCTAGAATCTGGTTCTAAGAATACTTAACAGAAAGAAACACTTAATGGGCTGGAGAAATTTTACTTTGACATGGGACCGCAGGTTACAATGTGTGCGTCAACACTTATATACATCTTGGATAGTACTTGTGTAAAGTGAGATAAATGGTTTTCAAGAGCCATAGTAACTGTTCCTATTCTGCAACCTGAGTGTTTAAACATGCTGGTTACCATAATTACCATGGAATAAGATGTCTCCGCTCAGCAATAGGAGAGGTGTGCTTCTAGGCTGAGGGGATTGCTGAAGTAGCATCATTCCTGACACTTTGGCCCTCATGTTTAGGTGTTCCAAGGAACATTTTTTGCCTGGGAGTCCAAAGACAAGACAGACTATCTTGTGCCTCTCCACCTGTATCTCAGGAAGAATGCGAAGAAAGAGGTTGCTGTTATACCCCAGAAGATCCTCATGTCCCTTGTTACTATGGCAATACAGGTATGTTACTATATCTTAAAGCACTCTTCTAGTGGAGGTGCAGTAGGTACTCTATGAAATTGAGTTCTGCCTTGAGGATAAGATGATTAATACTAGAGAGGTCATGGAAACAGGCCTTCAGTCTAGAGGACATCTCGTACCCTCACACCAACATGCCACAACTCAGTGGCACCTTTAGCACTAATTAACCATTTTGCAAAACTTTGAACAGCAACTTGTATTCAAGAAATTCTTCCTAAGTGAATGCCTTGATAGGAGGAAACTAGAACTGTCACAAATGCAAGGATATGAGATTGAATATTGTTGGCCATAAGGTTTGACTTTGGTAGAGGCATTTCTCAAGTTCTAGGATGGTTATACTAGGCCACAGAGATGTGAACAAACCATGGTCTGTGCTGGTTCACCCCTCTGGCCTCAAAACTGTTCTGCAGGTGCCGACTCAGATTGAAAACCCACCAGAGGAGGCAGGGCTGGGAAGCCACATTGCTGCCTTTGAGTGGGTGCCTGCTGGACTTTACTGGGCTGGGCATCCACGTAATAACTGTGTGACCGGAGGGCTGAACAGGCACAAACTACTGAAACTGGCAGTTCATACCCATCTCTACTAGGCAAATTTATCTTTTATGCTAGCACTGATATTCCTACTTCATGGTAATAAGTGGTAGAAGGCACTTTGGTGGAAGGTAGGTTTCTCCCATCTTGAACAGTCTGTGCAGCATACACAAAACTGCTTCCAAGAAAGAAGAAAGGTTGGGCAGCTCAGGAGGTGTAGCTAGAGGACCGCCCCTCAAGCCCCCCAACGTCTGTTGCCTGATTTGGTTCCTCACAGCACTTAATGGCACACCAGCCCTAACAGTAATGTAGAGAATTCTATACTGGCAATTCCCTACTAATGCTGTTGACTTACTTTCAGTGACTGCACAGTGCCTGCCAGATGGATACTTCTCCATTGCAATATCTAAGAATGTGACTGTCCCATCACTAATTCTGGACTCGGTGCATCTGGCCAGTGGACATGGTAGGGGTTGTGTTCCAGTGGGAAAGAACAATGCCTTTATTCTCTACAAGTTTCCACTCTCTGCTTGTGGAACTACTTTCCAGGTAGGAATCAATACAAAATTACCTTCCTGGAAAGCTCCTAGTGTAAGACTACTTTATAAATCTTAACCTCTGACTGTGCTACACTGCTTTCCATGGGAATCTATGCCGAAATACATTAATCTGTGTTAATAGTCTGGGCTCAGAGAAAGTAGTCTTGCCGAGTCACTTCATAAACCAAGGCTCTGTGGAAGTACACAAAGATCCCCAGTGCATACAAATGCCTAGTTAGAGGAGAAAGCAGATCTCTGAGGTCTTTGTATAAGCAAAAGCACTCTGCTCCTAAAAGACACTGGAAGTGGGGAAGGGATCCATTGGGTAATTAGACAGATGGAAGTCAGATTTTATCTTATTTTCAATGAGGGAAGCAATGGGTGTGTGTAAGGTATCAATATATGTTAAAGCAATAATGGCTAGCTATGTAAAAAAGTATTTGGCAACCCTTTTTTTCTGGCAGTTTTTTAGTCCAGTAAAAAAATGCCTCTTGGACCCCCATGAAGACAGATTTCCTGGAATAGCAGGTAGGAGATATGATAAGCATTGTCTCCTTCCCCCTTTGCTGATTTCCTGTATAATACTAAGTTCAACAGTCATGTACCAGTTGTCCTCAAATACTTTCATCTGCAATATTTTTATCTTTTTCCTGCTCTTATTACTTTCTCTTATGCTTGTCAATTTCAACAATTATGTTAGCTTTTCAAGTGATGTCAATTTCAGGACCTGACACCTTCCAAGGGTTGTGTTAGTCTGCCTAAGAGCCTGCAATTGACAGTAGTGGTGATAAGGGAATTGGAGGAGAAGAGCACAGTGTCTAAGGAAACATGCACAAGATTGCATGGGAAGAAACTGAGGCTATTTTGATGAATGGGGAGGCCTGGGGAAAGGAATTAGAAAGGCTAAATCTCACAGAACACCGTGGGCCAATAATTCTATAGATTCATAACTGTACTAGAGGCTGAAGACAGAAAAGATTCTTCATACATACAAAGCTTATGCCAAATACAGCTGGTCAATCCAGAAGGTTTCACAAGTATTTTTGCTATTTCTGCTGCAATGGACTACCATGGACTACCCCTCCAAAACATTTCTGTACAAATGGAAGTATGTTCAGACAGTGGCGACAGAAGATAATTTATCTTTAAATTAAAATTATTTTTTAAAACTATGCACACCATTTGCCCCCACCCCCCAGCAATGTACAATACAGAGGTTATTTGGCTATATCACCAGTATAATGTGATTCTACTTGAATTTTTCTGTGTGTGTGTTGTGGGGTATTTTGCAGTTAAATCTTCCTTTTGAACAAAGTACAACAAACTTGACAACAATGCAATATAGTTTCATATAATCTAGTGACCAAGTGACCTTTTATTTAATGCTTTCCAGCTGCGGCTGTTACCTCCCACAATATGGAGATAGGTCATGATCACACAAATGGACCTTGTCTTGTTTTTATGGATCACAACCTTCTACAAAGCAACTGTACATAACTAAATGGAAATTCTGATGGATTTCCAAAAACAGGAGAAATTGAAACCCTCTAAATCTAGAGGATCCAAGAGTCCACATTTCATGTATTATTAAAACTAGTTAGGTTTTATTTCACCATTGTCCAACACACAAAGGCACTAAACTGCGTTATTCAGAACTAACCCTTACATCTGAAAAACAGGGAGCTGAAGATCAAGGCATATATACCAATGAACTGGTAGCATACCATGATGTCCAAAACTGGAACACAGGATCCATCATACGAGACAGCACTTTCAGGTAATGGTGTCTGACACACACTGTTATCTTCACCTTCTGCCCAAATATCTAACTATTTCTTTTCTGCTCACTAGATTGTATGTCAGCTGCAGGTACTCAGCAGGTGGCTTTCTCCCTCTTACAGCTCAAGTCTTCACCTTGCCACCTCCACCTTCAGTCATTCGGTATGGTCCACTGAATTTAGAGTTAAGAGTTGCCACTGGTAAGTATCACTATATCCATGATGTAAAATCCTGTGTCTTCTGTAGGATCTATTTTCCAATCACATTTTTATTCTGAAATATAAATCACAGTCAAGGAACTCCCTGTATCCATGTAAACAAGCCAAAAGAGAAAATAACGTTCAAAGACTGGATGAAAATAGAAAGGGACTGGAAAAGGCGTGAATCCTCCTTCAAGTAACTCTGCAAATCAAGTAAAAGAACAGTTTGTGGTACACAGTAAACATGTCTTCATGATACCTTCTGAAGTCATTTGTCTCAGGGGAAATTAAATACACTGGTTAGTGTGTGGAAAGCCACACCAGACTAGAATACACTAGAAGAGAGGCTTGTTAGTAATACTGCAAGGCCTTGGCAGGCCAGCTTTAACTGCTGGTGATGGTGACCATATTGTCCATTCTGCCTATAATCACACCACAAATGTGAGATCTGAGAGCGGGGCATAAACATGTACATTCTTTCCTTGTTTCTGTACTTTGATCCATAATGGAGAATCACAATTTTTAATAGCATGCAACCTTTTGGAATCTTGATCTGCAGATGGACACTACTATGAATACTATGCTGCTAGGGATTATCCTGTAGTCAAGCTCCTAAAGGATCCTGTGTTTCTAGAAGTTCGGGTCCTGCAACGAACAGACCCAAACCTTGTGTTGGTTCTTCATGAATGCTGGGCTACACCAAGCACCAATCCTTTGCAGCAGCCACAGTGGCCTATTTTGGTGAAAAGGTAGGACCTTCAAGAGAACTCGGGACTTCCACTCTATTGAAGATCTATAGTTTAAGTGCATTGTTTTTGTCTTTTGCAGCTGTCCATATGGGGGTGACAACTACCGGACACAGTTTGTCTTCACTGGGACAGATTCGGACTTACAAATTCCCTCTCATTATAAACGCTTTGTTGTTAGCACTTTCACCTTTGTGGACTCTGATTCTCAACAGGCACTTACTGGACCGGTAAGATTTGTGCAGATGCTGTAGCTGTACAGGAGAACAGCTAAATGAGATTACTGAACCGGCTTTTGGGGCAAAGTACCTAACATTGATTGACTTCTTCTTAGATGATATGCTTCCTCAAATGGTGAAACAGGCCTGTTGTTTGTTACTGTTTGTGATGCTCCTTGCTTACATTCAACTTGTCTTCTGTTGTTATTAATCATTGAAAGGAAAATACAGGTTTAGTTTGGCAATCTGACTGTTGAGGCACCATAGCAGAGATTTGTTCCCCTCAACATTGCCTTATTCCTCTGAATGTCTACTGTGACCTTTCTTATCTAAACAGTTTTTCTGCCTCCTTATTTCATTTTTTTTTAAAAAAATTCATAATAACCTTGGAAGGGGACTTTACAGTTCTAAATTTTACTTTAGAAATAACTTAAGAAGACATGCGTGTTCATGTTCAGAAGCACCTTCCCTTTTTTCTATCAAGTCATGCTACCTAGAGTATACACTGTATATTTCCACAACTAATTCCTACTGCTCATTTCTCCCCATTTCTAGTAAACACTGGGAGTTCCCTCACTCCCTCTCCTACTATTGCTTGGTTTGCAATCTGTATGTAAATAATGCATATTAGCAAGATCTCCTCTTTAAAAATTTCCTGGAGAAAACTGTTCCTGAGTATGAGCACATTGCCTTCCATGACACCCAGTGCAAACTTTTGAGTTACAGCACCTCTTGTGTTGTATCATCTTTGGTATGTGTCCTCACCCAGAAATACAGAATTACTCTGTGCACTTTTGTGTGCATGCACGGAGCATGGAAGCACTATTTAATAACAATTTTAGACTTCCCTAGAAGGGGCTAGTTCAGGAGGTAATGGAGAACTCCTGCTTGATGCCATGACTGTTGGCCAGTAGCATCCCTCAGGGTTTTATCTTTTATCCCATGTTATTTAACACATACATGAAGCCACTGGGAAAAACTGTTTGGCCTCTTGAGGTTTGATGACACTTTTATGCTGATGGTACCCACTGCTCTCTTCCTCCATTTCATCTAAATCTAAGAAAGATGTTCTGATTGAGAACTAGTGTCTTATGTTTGATATAGTCTGGATGAGGTAATACAAACTGGAAGTTAATCTAGAGAAAACAAAGGTTATTTTGTTTGTTGAAAGGCAGATCAAGAAAGCAGATTCTGTCTGTGGTGGAGTATGACGCAATCTCCTCAGAGAGTAGTCTGGGTATATTTCAGGATTCAGCTTTGAACCAAGATCCAAAGGTTTCCAGTGAACAAAAATCATCTGCATAACCTAGGATAGACTTATGTGTCCATTGGAACACATGCCTGTTTGAATTGCCATTTGCTTTTATATGCTGCCAAGTCTGGAATCATTTATTGTGACCCTATCCTTGAATCCTAGAATAACTGGGTTGTAAAGGGCCTATAAGGCCATCAAGGGTATAAATCTTAAAAAAACCCCATGCATTAAATAAATTCCATATGTCCATTCAACATATACAACTTTGCATTCCTTCTGTGCTTCTAGTCAACTGGTTCCCAACCATGGACCCCTAGAGGTTCTTGGACTAAAACTCCCAGGAGCCTTCAACACTAGCTAGTCTGATCAGGCTTTCTAGGAATTGTAATCCAAGAACATCTAGTGACCCAAGGTCGGGAACCACTGCTCTAGTTCCATTTTAGCTTTGCAGATCAGGTATAAATTGTTATATTTGGAACGGCAGCTCTTAGTCTCTTTAATAGCTGCCACACAAATGAAACATGGGATTCCACTAATATGAAGGTGAAAAGGGGAACTCTGTCTGCTCAACTTCTTACTGCTATATACAGTGGACCCTCTACTTACGGAATTAATCCGTACTGGAACAGTGGTTGCAGGTTGAAAAGTCTGTAGGTCAAGGCTCCATTGACCTACAATGCATTGAGAACCGATTAATCCCGTAACTGGCTGTTTTTGTTCCATTTTGGTTTTTTTCTGGTCTGTAGGTCGATTCTCTGGCTGCAAGTCGAATCTACATTTTGCGGCCAGAGAAGTCTGTAACTTGAAAAGTCTGTAAGTTGAGCCGTCTGTAAGTCGAGGGTCCACTGTAGTAGGTACATCTCAACAGAGTAGCCATTCCCCCCCCCCCGAGATTCTTTAATGGCAGGAGAAGAATGGATGCTCTGTTGAGATGGACCAGAAATATAAATGCTTTTTTGACAAATAAAGGGAATTGCATCATATCCAGCATATTTGTTCCTCATTTTAAAAAAAGTCCAGAAAGCACACCTCCTTGAGGCATGATGCTAATAATAAACACAGATCTCTTACTTTTAGCACAGCACTCAGCCAACATTGTTTCTTGGAGGAAATATCTGCCTCTATTCCTGGCTGAGTGAATCTGAGCTGATTGCCCTGAAGCAATTTGTGACAGAAAGTTGTCAATAGCCAGGTAATGAAGTTGTCATGGGAAATGAAATACTTTAATTAGCACTCTTCTTTCAGTAGACAACCAACCTCTAAGTTAAGGCAGGAGCGAGTGAAAGGAACCTTGATGACTGCTTTCCTCCAAAGATTGAGAAGCTCTCAAACAAAACCATGTCAAAAACCACAACAATGAGAACTCTTGGATCTACTATTAGAGTAGATCCAAAAAAGGTGCCTTGGAAAGTTGTGTGTGGAGGTGGGGGAGAGGAAACAGGACGCTTCTACCATTAATAGTGTGAAAGTATACAGTTGTGGATCTTAGCAGATGCAGTGCGTCACGGAAAGTACTGCTGCTGATTTTTTTCTCCTTCACAAAACTATTATAGTCACAGTAGCCCTCTATTATTTCTTTAATTTAGAAACATCCTATCAGTGTTAGATGTGGGTGTGGGGGCAGAGTTCCAGTGGATTAAGATGCTCCATAGAAAAAGAAAACCGTAATAGTTGGACTTTAATAGATGTGGTACAAAGTATAACTTAACTATATTTTGCCAGGTTTATTTCCACTGTAGCGCTGCTGCCTGCATTCCATCAGCAACTGAATCTTGTATGATTCACTGTCCCAGGATCAGAGGTAATGGTTTGCTCATTATTCAGCTTCTATTTCTAATACTCTGGCCCTGTGTCCCCCCCCCCCATTTAGACTTTTAAAGGAGAGAGAAGAATTTTTTCATTGCATAACAATACAACTTGGCTTGCCTCCTAGCAGGCTTAATAAGTCATCACCAGTCAATGTTGAACCAGAGATGAGGAAATGACAAGCAAATGGGATCTCCAGAGAAAACAAAGCTCCTGGTAAACATCAGGACATGTTGAATCAAATAGGAACATGTTCACTGCTTAAGAGGTGGCACTTAAAAAGAATTGCTTTCTTAATAGCCTGAACTGGGTGGACATGATGACTAGTATTTCCTTTCTGTTCTTCCAGCTGGCCTGACAGACATAAAATACCTTGGATGTCCTCTTGTTGAGATGAGTTGGGATATGGAAAATGTTCTTTGTTTCCCTCTGGGGGCTCTGTTTTCTCTGCAGTTTCTTCCACTTCTTTAACAAATTGGTGTGAAAATACTTAGGGAAAGGAAGTTTTTTTCTAGGCAACCTCCTTCTCTTTGAGACATTGCTTAAAAGGAAAATAATTTGGGAGAATGGAACAATGGTTGGGCCTTCTGAAGGACTAGTTTCCATGAAACCTACTGCTGAATTTGGTTAGAGGTGGATTTGTAACATGAGGGCAGGGCATCACAGTGTAGTCCAGAGGTGGTGAACCTTTGGGACTTCCAATGTTTTGGACTGTAACTCCCAGAATTTCCAGTCTGCATTGCTAATGATAAAATACTGTGGGAGTTGTAGTCTTAAAGATCTTGAGTGCCAAAGATTCACCACCCTTGCCAAGTCTATATTTCTATTAAATATTGACATCAGCTCTCTTTATATAACTAATTTCTAAATACCACAATAATGAAGGCACAAATTCAGACAGCAGTAATGGCTGACGGACCAAGACTAAGCTGAGGAGGAACCTCATTCAGTAATTACAGAGGAAGACAACTGTGTGGGGATATACAAATATGAATAGCCCCACACAGATGGAAACAATGAGGGTCTGGCCCCATGAGGCTGGACTGTCCACTCACAATTTCATCGCTGATGCGAGCTCGTCGGATCTTCCTATTGTGCCATTGTCCACAATCGATTACCCAGTCCTGGCAGGAAGTGGGATGATAAGCCTCTCTTCTAGGTCGGAGAGTGGCTAATCCATTGTGGAGAACAATGTGATAGGAAGCCTCCGCGGAACCAGCGGCAGTGGTGAAATCGTGAATGGACAGTCTGGCCCCATGGGGCCGGACCCTTGTTATTTCCAACTGTGTGGAGATATTCATATTCATATATGAATACCCTTTTAAAGCACACAAGCCACCAGTGTGAAACATCCTATTTTACACAAACATCCTAAGTAGATATTGGTTATTACCTTTAAAGTCTTATATATCTTGCGACCCACATACTTACAAGACCAGCTTTATGAACCCCCTGTCCAACTGTCATCCAAAACTGCCCTTTTAAAGGTTCCAGCCATCAAAGTAGTCCAGCTTGAGTGTATTTAGAATAAAAGATCCTTCCGTGTTGTTTCCTCCATGGTCTGGAATTCTCTTCCTGAGTCCACGTGAAGCATGATGTCCTTGCAGATTCAGGAGTGGATGAAAGGTCGAGTTGTTTCAACAGGCCTTCAGAGGCAAGGAACTGCTGTTACACTACTTATATGACATACATTTTTGTATGTGAATGCTTAGGCTATAGCAAAGTATTATTATAATGTATTGTTTCTATGGAGTATTTTATGTTCGTATGCATTGTTTTTGTGTTGTGTATTGTTCTGGGTCTCTTTGGAGAGAAGAATGGCATACAAATTAAAACAATAAATAAATAAATATTGGGAAGTGTTCCCTCAGAATGGTGAATTAGTCTTTATGCAATTAACTTGTGGGAGGTTCAATTTAATATCTCTGTTCAGTAAGCTAGTGATTCTTTGGAAATCTATTTGTTGATGATTGCTATTCATTGCCTCAGTGCTGGCTGAGAACTATATGGATTAGAAAAGATGATGAGCAGGGACAGTGGTATCAAAAGCTACAAAGTAACTTCTATTGTCCGACAGCCAAGAGAACACCTGAGAATCAGTTCCTAGAGCATATTCCAAGGAGTCTAGTGATAGCAGAGGGACCTGTAGACTTCCAGATGAGTAAAGCACAAAACAACATTGAGCAGAAGGGTAAGTAGGGGTGAGGCTGGCTATTACAATGGAATAAAAAGCATCATGATTCTTTCCATGGAATACATGAAATATTAGATCAAAAGTATCTTGATAGGCTTGAGCACTGGGCTGAAAACAACAGAATGAAATTTAACAGAGATAAGTGCAAAGTTCTACAACTAGAGGGGGCCCACAAAAGTACAGTTACAAGATGGGCGAAACTTGTCTCAGTAATACTACATGTGAGAAGGATCTTGGAATTGTTGCAGATCAAAAGCTAAATATGAGCCAACAGTGTGATTTGGTTGCAAAAATGGCAAATTTTATTTTAGGATGCATTAACAGAAATCTGCATGTCCCATGAAGTACTAGTTCCCCTTCATTCAGCATTGGTTGGCCTACTCTATGGTACAGTATCCAGTTCTAGACATTGCACTTTAAGAAGGATGCCAACAAACTGGAGTAAGTTCAGAGGAGGGGAAAAAAGGATGATCACGCGACAGAAAACCAAGCCCTGTAAGGAAAGACTGAAAGAACTGGCCATGTTTGAGGCAAGAAGACTGAGGGGAGATATGATAGCACCTTTCAAATACTTTAAAGGTAGTCAAAAAGAGAAAAGGCAGGATCTGTTCTCAATCATCCCAGAGTAGAGGACACATAATAATGGACTCAAGTTATAGGAAGCCAGATTTTGGATGAATATCATGAAAAACATTTTAACTGTTAGAGCAGCATGACAAAGGAAGCAATTATCTTGGGAGGTGCTGAGTGCTCCAACATTGGAGGCATTCAAGAGAAAATTGGACAACCATGTGTCAAATCTGCTTTGACTTGGATTCCTGCATTAGGCAAGGCATTGGACTCGATGGCCTCATAGGCCCCTTCTAAATCAATTATTCTGTGATTCTAATTTATTCTTTGTTGTGAACAAACAGCTTTGCCTAGTACCTGTTTCTGAATGACTTTTTATTCTACTACCAATGTCATCCAGCAAGATTTTGAGATTGTCTTTGGATCCAGGACTATCTTTACTGTTGCCCTTTGTAACTATTTAGTCTGGTGTCTCGCTACAGGCTGTACAAAACCAAGAATAATTTAAGGGACAAACAGTAGACTGGAATGCCCAATCTTTAGTGTAGCTCTATAACAAAGCATATGGACCTTTACTTTCTAAGCAGCAAGATTTCAAGGACAATGCCTTAAGAGTTTTACATTGGCTGCAGGAAACTTACTCCAGAAGGCTAATGCCTAGTTATGGTTATACAGATGAGTTTTACATTGGCTGTAGGAAACTTACTCCAGAAGGCTAATGCCTACCACCAAGTTCAGACTGTATCAGCTATATTTTATGTATTGTGGGATGGGAAAAAAAGCTTGTGCTGATTTACCCTTTTATCTTCATTCTTGACATGGAGTGAAGTGTGATGCATGCCACTGGTGGATAAACTGATTTATGGCAAGTGGTATTATATAGAAAGGTTGCAAGATGATCTATAAAACTATTTATATATTTTGCTCAACAATACCAAGAGAAAAATAGGTATGCAACAGTTTGGTAAGCTAACCATCTTCTCTTGCAGGTTCCCACTGGATTAGTCCTATCATCTCAAAAGAACGGGAGTGGATACTTGTAGTTGCAGTAGGGGCTCTCTGTGTTGCATTGGTGCTTGTAGGACTAAGAAAATATTGGAAAAGGCCATCATGTAAACAGGCACATTCTCTTTGATAAAGAGTCAGAACCAAGAAATGTGCTTGTCATGTAGCCCCAATAGAAAAATCTATTTGTAAAATTCATATCTTGCCTTTATCATAAACTGTTCATCAGTGTGAATTTGAAAATCAGTAAATAAAAAAAAAGTAGTGTGACAAATTTGTCCCAGAGAATTTCAAATATTCTCTTTCAATTTGAAAGAAGATGCCATTGAAAAGAAGAAATTTGAAAAAGGTTTTCCTGACTAAGGCTCAGGAATCTTGTGTTTACCTTTTTTATGATGTGGTTCAAGAATGTACATATGTGACTTGCCTCTTCGTGGTATGTGTTTCTTTAGGAGCCATCCATCCCAGTCTACCTAGCTTCCGACACTTCAAGCAAAGCCCAGGCAGAAATGTTGACAAACAATTCTTATTATCTTTTATAGATCAGGAAGGGTGGGAAACGAAGAAAACTGTGCAAAATGGGAGGTGTCAGAGAGAGAGACAGAGAAAAAACCCCAAGTGTAACACCCTTGGAAACACTGCAGGATTATGATATGCTCAGGAACATAACTAAAAGAAGTCATAAACAACTCTAAGAATGAGTCAGAAAAATGGATGGAATTTTCTTGGGGAAATAGAATGTTAAGGAAATTGGAGTACAAATTATGGCATGGCAATAATGTTACTTTTCTCCTAAACACAACACTACAGGATACACAAGAAGAAGAGCTGTATCATAAGCATCTGCAGTAGTGACAAACTGTACTTACACTGGCTGCCCCAATGTATAACATTTGAAAGTCCTGGGCAGAGGATTTAACCAAGAAGAATGACAAGGGCTGAAGCAAAAATTCTCAGTATACATTCTTCTGTAACTACAAAACCTACTAGTTCGTATTGTGGCCCTACCTGTGTACTTGTATCTCTTCTCTCTCTCATCAGACAGAAATTGTTCCATATAAGCCGTTTCTTCAAGTTCATTTCATTTCTTTCACGTTCATTTTCCGTTTCACTCTGACACACACACCCTTAAGGGCCTTGGTGGAGGGCAAGCAAAGGTAGTTATTCAGACTACCACCAATACAATTGCAGTTGTTTCTACATCTACATGGCTGTGCTACAGTCACTAACTGAGCCCCACCTTTTAAGAAGTTGCTTGGAAATCTATCCTTGCTTTGAAAAAAAATTAGTGAAATGCCATCCTTATATATATATGAGAACTATAAATTTGATCTTATAGTGGCTCAACCCACTGTTAGTTTCAAAGAAAACCCAGTTTGTATTAATACTGGATTGAGTCCTTATGTTCTAGGAAACTAGTTCCAATTGCCTATCAGTACATTAAAGAGGCCCAGGTGAATGTAGCAGGGATTTACAGAGGTTTGTACACTATAGAGCAGGGATCTCCAAAATACGGACCACAACTGGCCCGCCTTGCCTTTTTTTCCCAGCCTGTGTGTGTGGGCATGTGGGAGTGAGTTGGTGTGGGTGCATATGCACATGTGCATGTTACTTCAGCCCTCACCAATGTGGAAAATATATTATGTGGCATCACAGTGAAAAGTTTGGAAACTCTTGCTATAGAGGTAAATAATACTAAGAAAAACATTGATTTGAGGGGAAGGGATAGGAATCAAGTACCCAATAAAATACAGTTGAATTGAAGGAGATACATTCTATAGGAAAATATGGAGAAAAGAACTAAAGGATGGATGGAACTAGGGAAAATATAAAAAGGTCAGATTACAGGAAGCATCAGGAGGTCCTGAAAGTACGTAAGTGGTGCTTAATATCTAAGCACTTTCCGCATATTAATTAGAACAGGAAGCAGAAAAAGATTAAAAAATTGAGTCGCAATCCACCCCTCTCCCAGTTGTTGGATGTTGTTGTTTAGTCGTTTAGTCGTGTCCAAAGCAGAAAAAGATTAAAAATTGAGTCACAATCCACCCCTCTCCCAGTTGTTGGATACTCCTTGGTAAAAAGTGCCCTGTGATTAGAAAGTGAACTGTCAGTTACTCGACTCTACCATTTTTCCACCATCATTTTCATGGAAATGAAATTTAATTATTGTGCAACAGCGCAAATCAGGATCTTAAAAAGTAATTCTAAAACTGGAGGCATAACTTTGAAACTGGACAGTCCACTCTTCCTCTGTGCCAAATTTGGGATGGTTTTGGCAAATGCTTTTTGAGTTAAGATTCTTAAAAATTGAAACTGTTCTCCTGACATAGACACCAAAGACCTTTTCTGTCTGCAGATTTAAAACACACTGAAAAGAACAAACTTATCTTAAAAGAAAATGGATAGTTTTAGCTGTTGGATACTCCCTGGTAAAAAGTGCCCTGTGATTAGAAGGTGAACTGTCAGTTACTCAACTCTACCATTCTTCCACCATCATTTTCATGGAAATGAAACTTAATTACTGTGCAACAGCGCAAATCAGCATCTTATAAAGTAATTCTAAAACTGGAGGCATAACTTTGAAATTGGACAGTCCGCTCTTCCTCTGTGCCAAATTTGGGATGGTTTTGGCAAATGCTTTTTGAGTTAAGATTCTTAAAAATTGAAACTGTTCTCCTGACATAGACACCAAAGACCTTTTCTGTCTGCAGATTTAAAACACACTGAAAAGAACAAACTTAGCTTAAAAGAAAATGGTTAGTTTTAGCCACTTTTTCAAAAAAATAATTTGGTAGGAGTCCAGGCATCAGGGGTTGTAATACTGATTTTGAAAAAAAAAAGCTATTTCAAAGGGGGATTTTTTTTATTTTCTGGCTTTTTTTATAAACTGGTTATAAACATGAATGTTCTAGCACAAACAAAAACATTGAGAGTTGGGAAGCAAGATCTGAACTTTTGACCCTGCCAGGCAGGACCACTAACTACCACTCATACCTATGAATGTCCTAGCACAAACATAAACATTGAGAGTTGGGAAGCGAGATCTGAACTTTTGACCCTGCGAGGCAGGACCACTAACTACCACTCATACCTGGAAAATAGCCCTATTTCTTTGTTTTGGGGTGAGAAGTGGTTAACTGATGAAAAAAGGAGTCAGTTTCTGGGATTTTCTCTTGCATGGTGCCACTCTGTGAATAGTAGTGAGCACACGATGGTGTCCTGTAGACCATATTGACTGCTGCCATTGGAGTTGTCAACATTCAGGCTGTCCTGTGCTATGTAAACCTTGGCATCCTTTTTCCTGTTGTCATTGTTTTTCCTCAGTGGTGATGTATATGGAGTGGGCACAAATATGAGCTTCTGAGATGGGCCATTTCTCTGCCATCTTGCATCTGAGGATAGCCAGTGGTGTATAGTGGACAATATCATTGCCAGCTGTTGAGAAGATGAAATCACACTAATACAGCTTTTCCTGGTACGAAGATACACTGTTATATGGAAAGTTTGTTTTATCTGTTGGCTGATTCAGTACTAAGCAAGTGTGGTAATCCTGGCTACTGGCAATATAAATGGCTGTCTAAAACTACTCTTCTGAAGAAAGAAAATGCATACATATCAAGCTTCCAACGAGGCCTTAAGGAAACAATATCAAAGGGTGGGGGGAATTGCAGGCTGCTTTGGAGTAGATAAAAAGAGTTCACTGAAGAGGTCAAAATAAAAGATATATATTTCACAATATTATCCTACTATGTTTACAAGGAAGTAAAGACCAGTGATTTTTAGAGGACTTGCTTAGAGGTAGAAGACTACACACTTCCTCAGCTCAGAGCTACTTGAAGGGTTCCCTGTCTCAAACAGCTGGCTGAGAAGGAGGGAAGCTGCAGCCTCGCCTGGGCCGCCTCTCACCTTTTCCTTCTCCTGGTGGCTTTTCTTCTTTGCCTTAATTCCCTTTTGAAGGCCTGATATTTTATTCAGCAGCCCCTGCTGCGCCTGAGTCTGCGACAGAAGTTTCTCAAAAGCGCTCCGTCGACAAAATGATAACAGCTGGTCTTTGAAACTCTGGGAGCCATAGACTGAGGTGGTGGCGGCAGGGAAGTGGGGGGGGGAGCAGCCTGCGAAATGCACTATTTGTTAGGAATAATGAGGCGAAAAAGTGACAAAGGTTTTTATTACAAATAATAGACAGCGAACTTCAAACAACAGCAGCGAGTCATTAAAAAAAGCAACAAAGTTAAATAAATGTCTAATTAGCAGGCACCATGAAGGTGGAATTTACTGCTCCACAGCTTCTTAAGGGAGAGTCAATAAATTCACAGCTGGGGGTTCCCCCCTTTTCCTAAATGCACAGGAAATGGAATGTGAATCCACCCCAGATTGTCTTTGCATTCCTGCCTTATATGTGCTCTTGATTCATTTGTGGCAGGGAGAGAGGACAGGCCTTCATACTGTTTTGCCACACTGCAACCTAGTCATAGGGGTGCATTGATAATCTTGGAATCCTATTGGTGTTTGTGTAAGATTTGCCCGCCGGATGATAGTTTGCGGCCCCGCCTTGCCTGCCCCCCTGAAGCACCCACACGTCCTCTGCTGTCAAGAGTAAAAAAAAAAGCCTCACCTCGCTCGCCAGCTCTCTCCCAAGACAGCTAGCTGGAGTTCTGGATTGAGGGTGCAAGAGATGCTGTCTTGGGGGAGAGCCAGTGAGCAAGGTGCACTGCCAGCCCTTTTCCCTGAGTGCCTGAGCCGCCGCCGAGCGATACCTGAGTGCGGAGCTCACTCCCAGCCTGTCCTCAAAGAGCGCCGCCAACAGCAGCTGCTGCCACCACTTCTTCCAGGGAAGTGGCTCTCTGGCTCTCTTTCTCTCTTGGCCCCCCGAGCACCAGCTCGGCCAGCGGCCGCCTCAGCACCCAGCAGTACTTCCTCCTCCTCCTCCTCAGAGCCCCAGCCAGGCTAAGGAAGCTCCTGGGCGGCTTCCTTGGGCTCTTGTTCCACTTGGCGGAAAATCCGATGCAGCCCAGCCTCACCCAGACTCTGACTCTGTCAGTTAAATTGAGTTTGAGACCTCTGGACTAGATTGACTGACAGCCTCATGAATAAGCTGTTGTTGTTGTAGAGTAGTGGTTTCCGGCCTTGGGTAAACCAGGTGTTCTTGGACTGCAAATCCCAGAAGCCCCAGGCATCATAGCTGATGATGAAGGTTTCTGGGAACTGCAGTCCAAGAATACTGTACCTAGGTTACCCAATATTGGGAACCACTGTTGTAGAGAACAATAACAGCCAGTGCG